CACGGGTATTTGTATGTGGATCTTTGGTTATTCAGGTTTTCTGCGTAAAATTGGAAGTATTTTGGCGATGTTCATTCATCATCTTCAGGCTTGTGTCTTTGGCTTTGTGCTTCTTGGAGTAATGTGAGCTTGCAGCTGTTTTTCCTTTTAACTTCCAGTGGGAGTGCGGCTTGACTGGGTGGGGGCTTGGCTGTGTTCTGATTGGCTGGGGGTATGTTCTCATTGGTTGGGGGCCTGGCTGTGATCTGATTGGTTGGGGGCCTGGCTGTGTTCTGATTGGCTGGGGGTGTGTTCTGTTCAGGTGGGGGCTTGGCTGTGTTCAGGTTAGTCTTAGTTGTTGGGGGATTTGAGATGGTGAGCTGTAATCCTGTTGTTTGGCTTTGCATTCGTGGTTGTGCCACATCTTCATGTTGGGCGTCAGTTCACTTCATGTATGGGTCAGAGGGGTTTGAAGCGGGTAGTGATGCAGCTGTGGTATGGCTTCTGGTCTGTGGTTGTGTCTCATCATCTGTGTGGGTGTGAATCTGCTTTCTATGTGGAAGTGTGGTGGTAGCATCTTGTGTGGTCTTTGTGGGTGTGGGTCTGGTGTCATTCTTCATGTTAGGTACTCGTTTGTTAATGAGGGTGGGTTTCCAAATGGCTGGTAGGCGGGAGGTATCATCTCTTTTATTCATGCTGTGTGGGCATTTTTCTATCTCTATGGCTTCTCTGATTATTCTGTTGTTGAAGTGTTGAGTTTTCAGAACTATTGCCATGTATGGTATTCAGCTTTGTTCGGGTATTTTCCCACATCATTATAGTTGTGCTTTTAAAGTTGTAGCAATGTTTCGGCAGAATCTCATTTGCCATCATCAGGCTTCTGTATTATGTTCGTCTGTGAGTCAGACTTTCACAGCTGTATCAATTTTAAATTTGGGGCTAGCCTACTGCTGTGCCAGAATGGTTTTTTCTTCATCCTGATTGGTTGGGAGTCTTGGTCTGTGTTTATTGGTCTTGGAGTTTGCTGTGTTCTGCTTGATTGGTGTTTCTAATATCTTCTGTCTGTTTTGTGGCTTTTTGTGTGTCTTGATTGGCTGGCAACATTGTGTTCCTGTATTGGAAGCTTTTAGTGCAGCTTGGCTCCGAGTAAACGGACGGCTATCATTTATTAGGAAGCTAGGTTTCATCTGGGTGCCTGGTTGGGGTGTGTTTGAGCTGGAGGTATCAGGGGTGGGTCTCTTTGTGCCCAGGTGTTTGCCTGGCTAGTGGTGTGGAGATTTTTTTGTTTGTGAGTGCAGGCTTCCAAATAATTGACAGTCTGGTGGAATCATCTCTTCTGTTCATGCTTTCAGGTCTTTTTTCATTCTCTATGGCTTCTCTGATAATTCTGTGGCTGGAGTTTTCTATAGTGGTTAGTGTTTTGGTGCCATTGAAGTCGATGCTATGACCTGTGGCTTTCATATGTTGGACTAGTGAGGAAGTGTGTTCCAGCCTTTTTACTGCATTTTTGTGTTCATCCAGGCGGGTACTTATTCTTCTATTGGTCTGTCCAATGTATGTGGCTGGGCATGATGCACAGGGGATTTTATATATGCCTTGGTTTTCCAGGTTAATTTTATCTTTGGGGTTCTTAGGATGGCTGCTAATTTTCTGTCTGTTTTGAAGGCAGTCTTGATGTGATGCCTGTGTAGTATCTTACTGATTTTGTCTGTAGTACCTCTTATGTAGAGCAGGACAACTGTTCCATAGGTGTGTTCATCTTCTAGGTCTCCATTATGTCTCAGTGTGTTTTTGTGGATCAAGCCGGTGATTTTGCTTTTGTGGAAGCCGTTGGCTGTCAGTACTTTAGTCAGGGTGCATAGTTCAGTCTTTATGTGTGTCTTGTCTGCCAGGCGTTTAGTTCTGGCGATTAATGTTTTGGCCATGGAGTTTATCTGTGCTGGGTAGAGGTGGGATTGGGTGTTGAGGTAGCGGTTGGTGTGTGTTTTCTTCTGGTATATGGTGTGTCCTAGTGTGCCATCTGTTTTTTTTTTTTTTTGTGGATTAGTACATCTAGGAATGGTAGTTGTTTGTTTGTTTCTGTTTCCATGATGAATTTGATTTGGGTGTGTGTGCTGTTTAGGTCTCTTAGGAAATTGTTTAGGTTTTCTTTTCCATGGGGCCAAATCACAAATGTGTCATCGATGTATTGTAACCATAATTTGGGTTTGTGGGTGGCATTAGCTAGGGCTCTGGATTCGAATTCTTCCATGAACAGGTTTGCAATGACGGGTGACAGTGGTGATCCCATAGGGGCTCCTTCAATTTGCTTGTATCTTTGTTCTTTGTATATGAAATATGTGTTGGTTAAACAGTGTTCTGCTAGTTCCATGAGGTGTTTGGGTGGTTGGTATTTATTTTTGATGATTTCTAGGGTTTCTTTTATTGAGACTTGAGTGAATAGTGAAACCATGTCAAAACTTACAAGCAGATCTTTTTGTTCCATGTGTAGATCTTTGATCATTTCCAAGAGGTGGTCTGAGTTTTGTATATGTGAAGCTGCTGCTTTAGCATGGGGCTGTAGCTGCTTTGCTAGGTATTTGGCTAGGTTTTGTAGTGGTGCTCCTCTGGAGCTGACTATGGGTCTGAGAGGTATGCCTTCTTTGTGTATTTTGGGGAGGCCATATAGTTTGGGGCATCTGGAAGATTTTTCTCTTGGGATGATCGTCTGTTGGATCTCTTTGCTCATGTGGCTGGTTATAATTTTCTTCTTGGTTATTTTTTCCAGATATGTGGTTGGGTCTTGTTTATGGGTTTGTATGTGGAATCTTGGAGTAGGTCTGTCAGTTTTGTTTTGTAGTCTTTTCTTTTTTAAAAAAATTTTTTTATTGGTTTTTAAAAACAAACATAAACAAACAAACATAAACAAACAAAACATTGAAACATCAAAACATCAAGCCATCTTCCATATTTGTACATACAGTGTGCCGGTTGGTTTACAAATTGTTTTGTGCTTCCA